TATATATAGTCAGAATATAGTAAATAACAAAATAATTAATGAAATTGCACTTATATAAGGAAATAGTTATAACAGTATTTAAGGAAATAGTCATATATATAAGTCAGACATATAATGAAATAGTCATAACAGTAAAAACAAATTTTTATATGGAAAAAAAGTTGAAACAATGACCAGAAAAATATCATACATATAGAACATATTATTTGAAGTTTAAAAAAAAAATTATTGAAATCCTACAGTCAGATTTTTAGAAAATTGATTTCAAATAAATAAACAAATCTATGATTTATACTAAAAAAGTATTAAGTAAAAATATTATTGAAATCCTACAGTCAGATTTTTAGAAAATTGATTTCAAATAAATAAACAAATCTATGATTTATACTAAAAAAGTATTAAGTAAAAATACAGTTTTAGCGCACAAAGATTTTTGTTACCTCTATTTATTTATATTTTAGTAAAATTTTTGTATTATTTTATTGATTTATGTTAAAAATGAGGCTATATTAATGGCTTTTCAGAAATTAATTAACAAATAAACTCTTGCCAAACAAAATATTCTCTGTAGTTAAGAACCGTATATAGATATATAATATATATATGTATATGTATATATATATATATATATATATATATATATATATATATATATATATATATATATATATATATATATATATAATATATATATATATATATATATATATATATATATATATATATATATATATATATATATATATATATATATATATATATATATATATTATAATATTTATTTATATTTTTGTAAAATTTTTGTATTATTTTATTGATTTACGTTAAAAATAAGGCTATATCAATGGCTTTTCAGAAATTAATTAACAAATAAAATGTTGCCATATAAAATATTCTCTGTAGTTAAGAACCGTAGCCATTTTAAAAGTTCACAAGTTTTCCGCATTTTCTTACGCATGCTCGGTGTAGTTAAGGCGATTTGTATACTTTTATTTGGAATTAGCAAGATTTTGTCAGCATATTATGCCCAAACGAGATCTTTAAATGTTATAATTTTTTTGCTTAAGGTTTTTATAATATTTGAAGAAACTTTTCTTTTTATATATAACTTTTAAAATCTTTTTACAACCCGTAATAATGTATTTAAAGAACACTATTTTGGAGTCTTTAGATCAATTTCGCTCATCGACATTAACATGAATTTAGTTAAAAAAATTTTAAAAAGTTACTTAATTTACTACTGATCCTAGTTCTAATCGGTTCTGACGTATATTAATTATATATAATTGTCAAAACACAATATTTCTATCAATTTTCACAAAAAATACTGGAATTCCGACCAAAAAATTTATAATTATCAATAATTGCCAATAAACGATCAGAACAGATCATATTGTTAAACTATAATGTTTATTTTACCTAAAAAACGTATTAATATAAAATCTTATTTGAATTTAGACGAGCGATTGTGATTTTAAGACGATTTAAAAAAAAAAAAAAAAGATTCCACGGTCTGGGTTTTTTCGCTACTGACATTTATATTTTATGATACCGCAAAATTTATTATTTTATTTTTTTTCGTCTTTTCATAATTTACAGACCAGACCATTTCATGGAAATATGTCATAATCAACAAAATATCATACAGACGCTATAATATTTTAAAAGTGCCTTAACTCCACCGAGTGTGTACCTAAACATAGCGCTTTTTACTAATATCTAAACGACCGTTATATCCGGCCGTGCAATTATAGTTGGCCATGTTAGGATTAAAAATACCTTCCCCCGTAAAGCAATGCATTATGGTATTTATATGTACGCGAAAGTAAACAACTAATATAAGTCGAGTAAAATGTCAAATATTGAAAGAACTGAACTATTGTCCAAATAGACTTACGTGTATTTTAATTCACACCTTTTAAATTTTTTAGTTCGAAATTTAAAAACTATATTATTTGAGTAAAATTTGCACTATATAAGATTTCGAAGAAACAACAAGTGCATCAAAACAGGGCCGACAACACGGGTTTTGAAGTTGGGGGCACAATAATTAATTTGTAAAAATAGTCCCCTGTATCAATGTTTTTCTTAAAAAAAAAAAAAAAAAAAAAAGTCATTTAGAAAAAAGTGGGGGGTGGGGGCACGTGCTCCCGATGTCGTCGGCCCTGCAAACAATGTTTTTCAACCAAAAAACAAACAAAAAAAAGAAGTCGGGATTTTAAATGTTTGTACCTAAATGCTTCAGCAACTATGTAAAACAAAATGCTGCATTTAATGGAATCCTAAGGGCTTTTTAAAAAGCTAGATCAAGCAGCAATATTTACAGAGTTAATTATATATTCTTTTACTTATGTATACTTATGTAAAAAATACTTCAAACAAGCTTCTCTAATGAAATTCAACTACAATTGCGTTGAAATATTTGTTTATATTACAATGCATTTATTCTCCTGCGGAGGTAATAAGATTTATAAAAGATTTTGGCGCATATGCAATTAATTAAAAGAGAGAAAACTATTACTTATGTACGAGCAAGCCACCAAATGATGAAAAATTAAAAAAACTACGAATCATATATATTGGTATATAGCCTCATAAACCAATATTTATGGTATATGGCCTCAGAATGGCTAGAGTGCAATTCGAAAAAATATTCTTAAACGCTAACGTGTTGACGCACGCAAGGTTAAAAAGTTAACACTTTAAGAATTTAAGGTCTGTGTCTACGTGGTATGTGACCTCTATACGGTCACATACCAAAGCCCACGAGGATGAGTTCAGCTTCGACATAACTAGAGCAACTTATCTTGCTGCTTTATTTTGTCTAGGATCTTACATGGACTTAGACACTGGCCTTAAATTCTCAAAATATTAACTTTTTAACCTTGCGTACGTCAACATGTAAGCGTTTATAAATATTTTTCAAATTGCCGTTTAGCCATTCTGTAAAGTGTGGTAAAACCTGACGATTAATGATGAATTTAAACTTTGAAGTTGGCAAGATGTTGAATTCTGATGCTGAATGAAGCTAAGCAATAATGTAGGCTAAGATAAGAATGTTGAAACATGCTTAGATGACAGTGGAGATGCAGACAGACTAAAAAACAGCAGGAAAACCGGGACCTACCCGTGTACCTCCAAATCTCTAAAATTTATGTTCATTTTATAATTTTTGTAAAAGCATTTACATTCCTTGGATTTTTTATTTTTAATTAACTTTACTTTTGTTTTTTAAAAATTTATTATTTAATAAAAATTTATTAAATTTCTATAAATATATTTAATTTTGTGAAATAAATTCTTTGTATCATTTTATATCAACAAATCTATGATAGTTTCAATTTTTTTCACTTTTGTTATTTTTAAAATAACAAAAGCGATTCTAAAAATAAAATGGGGAGGGGGTAAATCCAATAAAAGTTCCGGACTGGTTTCGAAAAAATTATATGGTCCCCAAAACTAAAACTAATCTGACTGAAAGGTGTCAAATATCCGGCTACCATATTATATTTGTAAAAAAACCAACATAAACTTCTGAAAAATAAAAGGTGATTATGAAGACTATAACTTCAAAATCACCTTCAGAAGGTGATTTTGAAGATTTTGGTAGTCTGCAGTTGTTCACTCCCCCCCCCCCACCTCTCTTTGAAATAATATAATGCTTTAAAGTGCAAAACTATGTTTAACACATAGTTAATGTTGCCTACCATTATATCTTATAAGCTGTAATGGTAGGCGACATGAACATTACAAAAAGTAATTTTATGTAAAAGTAGCATAAAACCAAATACCCGAACCAAATAAATTTGGATCCGGATCTCAAAGTAATGATACAGGTACCCGGGTATTCGGTTCCGGATCTTGGATCCGACTATGCCCTAAATATAAGTTGTTGTACTTTATGTTACCTTAGTAACATGTAAGATTTTTATTCAAATAGAATTTCGAAAAGGATTATAATTTTGGATACATTTGGTATTTTAGAGAGTTCAAATTTATTTTATCTTATAAGACCAAGATACTAAGTAATACTCATTTTCTTGCTTTTAACATTTATGATTTCAAAGACCCTTACTTATATAAAAACCATCAACTGAAATTCCTCCTAGAAATATAATAACATAACAAAAAACGTTATATCTAGATTCGCCCTACCAAGACACCATTATAAAGTTACTTTAAAAATAATAGAAAAATCATATAAATTTATTTAAGGTTTCGTAAATTTTATCTTTTTGATCCACTTGCAACCAAGTAACTATATTTTTTGAATTTTCTGGTTAATTTAACATTATTTTATTTGTATATGCTGCTTATGATAAATACACTGGGACGTATGCAGTGTTTTTTAAAGTTCGATATACCCTTGTGATATTTTTCAGAAATGAAACAAATGTCAAAGTTTTAACTTTCGGGGCTTTTTTATGATTTCAGGCTCCAATCTAAAAACTAAGTAATTTAATTTTGCTTTTTTTCTGAAAGTTAACTATTTCAATCAGCAAAAAATGTCGCATACGTCCTAGCATATTTACAAATATATTTTGAGCTACATATACAAATAAAAGAGTATTAAACTAACCGAAAAATTCATAAGATATTATAACCTGGTGGCAAGTGGATCATAAAGATAACTTAAGGAAAATTTACGAAACCTTATACAAATTTATTTCAAACACCAAAAAATGCTACATCCACCCCTGTAATCACTTTTCTTTTTTCTCTGTATTTTTTTGACTGATCTTTCTATTTTAACTATCTTGAACGTTTTGTTATGATACTTATTTATCTGAGATTTAGGGGCCACAACAGGAGGAGGGTCATTGGGGAGGCTATTATTTTTTAGTCGTATTTTTCTCAACTCTTTAATTCCGAAACACGTACTTTGAACAACATAATCGTTCTGCGAAAAAACAAGTTGAGCGCGTTACTACCAGGGATTATAGTCGGAACTCCTAGCTAACGAGGAGAGCGCTCTACCGGTGCTTATAAAAACAAACTTGTAATAATATAAAAGATGTATTTTTGACTTAATATTTTAAAGTTATACAATTAGTAAGATAGACTCCGTCATTATTGGATTGTCTTTCAGCACTTCAGATTTTGTGTGCACAATTTTCTTTCTAAAAAAGACAGATTTAAAAATCAACAAAATAAAGTAAGTACAAAACATGAAAAACAGATTATTCTGAATATAATTTTTAAAAAGTTTTCAAAAAATAAGATGCCATTGCATCTAAACATGGCGTCTTAAACAAACAGTATATTACCTTTTTAGGTATGCCTGTGCGTTGGCTCTAATGTCGTGTGTTGTTTTGTGCTTTTAGTTGATTTTGAAACATGTTTTTGTGGTTGTTCATGGTGAGAAAAGTGTTTGTTGCCTATGAGAAAAAATTTTAATTTATATTTTTATATCTTTCTATTCAGCATATAAAAAACATTTACCACTAATTTTTGGTTAACTTTTATTGATTTAATATCTCGTAATAAAATAAAATGTTTTTTGACTTGATAACCTTTATAACTCGTATTTTGGGCTTGATGGCAGTTAAAATTGTTAATTTTTAAAAATCTCTTAAGAGTATTTAATTCATTAACTCATTTAATTAATCATTAATTTATTATGAGACAAAACAAAAACGGTAAATCACTATTTTAGAGTATTTATTTTAAAGCGTTTATTCGAATTAATTTTCGTACAATTTACGGATTTTAAAAAAAAGGTTTCAGGATTTTGTACTGTTTACTTTACATATTTGTTCGCTTGATTGATTTTCTATAAATAAATTAAAAAAAAAAAGAAAAGAAAAATGAAGTACCAAACGCTTTTTATTGAGTCAAAAAAAACCACGATAAAAAGTCACAAATAAGTCACAAATAAGTCACAAATAAGTCCCAAATAAGTCACAAATTAATGATCTAATAAAAAAACGGGTGCTAATCTTATTATTGCTAAAAATTAAGATACAAATAAACAATGGTAATAATAAAAATAATCTTAGAATTTAGTTAAATTTGTACCTTGAGAAAATCCAGTTGTAGGATTCGACTCCGAAGTAGTTGATAGTTTGGTTGTAAGAACTGGAACGGTTATAGGACCTACTTTCATAAAGAATTAAATAGATGCATATATATATATATATATATATATATATATATATATATATATATATATATATATATATACATACATATATACATACATACATACATACATACATACATACATACATACATACATACATACATACATACATACATACATACATACATACATACATACCTACATACATACATACATACATATATACGTAAACCTTTTAATAATTATTAAAATCATTTTTGCTATTAATAATCATTTCAAGCACATAAAATGTTAGATTATTAATAAAATAAAAAAAAATAGAAATGTAATATTTAAAAAAGGATTAAAAAAAAAAAGTTCAGACAAAACTACATCAAAATAAAACTGATTAAATGAAATTTTCACCTGCTTCACTTGTCATTAAAAGAAAAGCAGCTAAAAACAAAGTTATCCACATGGTGCTAAAAATATTTAAATGAAATATATATATATATATATATATATATATATATATATATATATATATATATATATATATATATATATATATATATATATATATATATATATATATATATATATATATATATATATATATATATATATATGTATATATATATATATATATATATATATATATATATATATATATATATATATATATATATATATATATATATATATATATATATATATATATATATGTATATATATGTATATATATATATATATAAATTGCACTAAACCAAAAAAATGTAATAAAATAAAATTGCGTCGAAAAAAAATACTTCATTTTGACGTCCTTCTTCTTGTCTACTTAACATATATTTGACTCTTTTGTCATATAACTCTATTTATATATAAAAAGATTGGTATAGTTGCGTAATAATTACGTAATTACGCTCACAAATAATTACTAGTACTAAAATAAACAACGTATTTTCAAGTTTGAAACCAGTATTTACCCAAATGTGACGCATTACTTACTTTGCCAAAACTTGAGTGTGTTTTGCCGCTAAATTAAGAATACCTAAACGTCATTCAAAGTGTAGGTTTGTATAAACATTGAAACTTTAAGAAAATAAAATGCAGCAAATTGTTTTTGCCTTTAAAAAGTTTCATTCATTCACGTAATTTTTGAAAAAAAGAAAAACGGGGCATATGCATACTTAAAGAGTTAAAAAATAATAGTTAGACATTTTTTAATGGCTTTTTATACTTACATGCATTCTATATTTATAAAGTATGCAGATTCAACCATTTGGGTGGCTTTATAATTTTTTTTTTGAAAATACGATGCATACATTTTTTTGCTTTTTAACAATCTTTCTAACAATATTGTAGTGGCAATAATGTTTAGTATATTATTTAATAAGTTATAAAATACAAGCAACACCCATGTAATCTTCTGACTTCTAGTCGCAGGCGAATAACGGCAATTTTTAAGGCAGAATAAATCATTTTATATTTTCATGGTGGTCAATACTATGTCTAAAATACCTGATTTAACATAAACAGGTATATCAGCGAAAAACTTAAAATTTTTTATTTCTTAAATTTTACTTACACATCAAGTAAAAAGTTCCCAAATTACAGTTTTATAAACTTGTTTAAACACACATATAAATAACAAGTTGGGCCATTTTTTTCTTGACATTATAGCAATTGACTGTTTACAAGCGTTACTAGAGACTTTTCTCCATTTTTGTAATTCTTTTTAAAAGATTTTTTTGAATAAATTAAACAGATAAGATTGCTGATACAATCATAATCGTTTAATATTTCCATAAAACTTTTATGAAGCTGAAAGTGTTTCGCAGTTTTAAATTTTATTGTTTTCATTGTAAAATCTTCAGGAATTTTTTGAAATTTTTCATGACGGTTTTCTCAGTTTCATTACTCGGTAACTTATTATTACTAATATTTTTTTCTTCTACTAATAAATGTAGGTATAATAATGGAAAAATAGAGCTTCTTAGTATTTCCGTTTTAAAAGGTATTCTAAATTTTTAAAAAAGATAAATATTTTTCTTAAGCTGTATAAACTTTATATCTTGAATGACGGACTAATGTTTGAAACAGATAATCATTTATATATTTTATAAAACTACTACAATACTAGTAGTAGTAGTAGTAGTAGTAGAAGTAGTAGTAGTAGTAGTAGTAGTAGTAGTAGTAGTAGTAGTAGTAGTAGTAGTAGTAGTAGTAGTAGTAGTAGTAGTAGTAGTAGTAGTAGTAGTAGTAGTAGTAGTAGTAGTAGTTGTTGTTGTAGTAGTAATTGTTTTTTAAAATTATTTAGTACTAAGAAATTACTTTGAAATAAAAAAAGGATAGAGTGAGTGTGAATCATTTTATACCTTGGGTAGATGATAACTGCGAATTTTGAAGCTTTTTTATACACTCCTAACATTAACTTCTTTAATAAAGTTGTTTGGAAATTAGGCAATTTTGATGCTGACATTTTCCGTAAAAACATATTTTATTTGTTTTGCCAATGTCTAATATGTTTATTAATGTAAATATGTAATATTTATTATGTTCAGTTGTTACCCAACATAATAAAATGTTTATTATATCATTTACTTAGGTTTATTATATTGAACCAATGTGTTTAAATTTTATGTAATAATTTATTTGTAGCATTTTTTTCTTAAACAATCTAGAAACCTAAATAGTAAATAAATAAATAAATTTATGGTGGTTATGCAAATCTATAGGCCTTAAATAAATCCATAGGCCTTAAAAAAATCTATTGGCCTTAAAAAAAAATCTATAGGTCGTAAAAAAAATCTACAGGCCTTATTTATAGGCGATAAAAAAAGCTGTAAGTGTAGATGTTGTTAATAAATGATCTTTAAAGACCTAAAAATTCAGTTTCTATGCAATTCAGCAACTCATTTCTTTTTTTGATTTCAGTAGAATGTTAGATGATTTCAAAACTTGTTACACGGCCGTATCAGATAAAGTGCTTAGGTGTCTCATTTTGCCCCTCATTACCCTACATTGTTTTACAAGACACATAAACTTTTAAAGCTAGGATTTTACAATAAAAAGTTCATTCGTATAGATGAGGCCTGCAATCATCATTGTTTAATGAAAATTTTATCATGATGACTCAGAGTGTTATTCTTAACTTATTTTTATTTTAATACACGTGTTGATGGACACATGACGTCAAATAATTTGTTACACAATTTGCTTCTTTGAAGCGAAAAGAAGAATTTCTTAACATAAAAACGTCTTTACTTAAAAACATTTTAAAATGTCTTAAAGATTTGATATATACAAGAAAAGTGAACAGTGTTTGAAAATCTAAAAGGAGTTATGGCAGTGTAGATATTAAATTTTTTTTTTTATTATTTTGGTTTTTTTCGTTTTGAATTGGAAATAAACAAACCAAAAAAAAATTTTATAATTTGTATATTTATAATTTTTAGGTAATTTAAAATTAAGGCAAATACGACCTTTATTTTTTTAAGTTTATTTCAAAATGAGTTTAAAAAAATGTTTGAGTTTGTTAAATGGTACATACAAAAGGAGAATGAAATTTTTTCTTCGCTCTCAACTTATCTTTACTTTTTCTCTCATAACTTAACACTCTTTTAAATTAACTTTATTTTTTATATCAGCTATTGTTTTTTTTAGTTTAAAGTTTTAACTCAATATACTTCTGGATAAGTTTCATAAATATATATATATATATATATATATATATATATATATATATATATATATATATATATATATATATATATATGTATATATATATATATATATATATATATATATATATATATATATATATATATATATATATATATATATATATATATATATATATATATATATATATATATATCCTGTGACGTAAATAGTTCTGCCTCAATGTTTTTTTTATGATTTTAATATTGTTTGCAATCAAACGCATGCAATCATGTCTTAATTTTATTTGTTATAAATAAAAAAATATTATATCCAAAACTTTATTTATGCGTAACTTTTTTTGTTAACATCCCAAAAGTTTTAATAAAAGTTTTAAAATAACATAATAAACTGATTTGTCCGATTCTGAAAAAAATTTTTTTAAAAAATTTTATTTTGCATGGGTTGATATCTTTCAAAAAAAAAACAAAATGTTTGAGATATTATTATAACTTTTATAGTTAACGTATTTACGCATTGTGTTTGACGTAATTATACATCGTGTATCACCGTGATACACGATGATACTATCACGTATTTATGCATCATAAATAAAGAAGCAAGTGTACTTTTTACACTTCTTTTTTGATACCCTATCTTTGGTCTTTTTTATGTAGTCAAAAAACGTTTTTTTAGTATTGTAATAAAAACAGGTACAAAAAACTTTTTACACCCGTAATTAAAACAGGTACGAAAAACTATTTTCTCCATGGTTAGGTACTACTAAGTGGCCCTTCCATGGAAGGAAGAAAATCGATTAATATGTGAGCAAAAAAAGAATTCAATCAGATATAATGTTACACTACCATTAACACAGTAATTGTATAGTCACCATATTAATGATACAACAAAATTCTATTAAAAAGGGGTCCATTTTTTTTATATATCTCAAGATATATAAAAAAAATGGACCCCATAAAAGAGAAATCTCTTTCAGATCTTAAAAATCTAATTTGTGAAAATGTTATTTCAATTCAAGATTACCTTTTAGTTATTAAGCAATTAAGAGAGAAACCAGCGAAAAGAGAGCGAAAAGAGCCACCAACTTTACAAACTGTTAATAAGAAATCAAAAAAAAAATTTTACTCCTGTAAAAGATCAAACTAATATAAAAAGACTTCTTAAAATTACATCAAAAGGAGAAAATCCAATACTTCCTCCAAGACCTTCTTTAAAAATTGAAGAACCACTAAAATTAAAACAAAACCCTACTAGAAAGAATTTTAAGACTTTTTTTTCAAAATTCATTGTTCGTCCTTCAGACGATAACGATTTAACAAGTTTTGAGATTTGAAAAGAAACTGGTCAACTTGTAAACTATACAGCTGAGTTATCACAAGGTCATAAAATTTAGTCAGACCCTCTTGACAACATCTTTTAGGCCCACCAGCAAGGCAATAAAGTGCGGATTCTGAATCAATAGAAGGGGTTATTAAAGACCATATTTGTATTTATAAAGGAGATGACACCAAAAATTAGGGAATTAAAAGAAAATAAAGCTAAACAATATGGATAAAAGGTTACACTGATTCTTGTAGCTAAGATGAAAAAAGTAATATTTAATACTGAAAATGTTTATGATCAAGAAGAATCTTCTAAAACTATAAAACTACCATCTACCTTTGCTCGGAAGCTATTCTTAATAAAAATAAAATTAAAGAGATGTTAGAAACAGATCCAGTGAATATTAACAAACTACTTAAAAAATTCATTAACAAGAGTTCTGGTAGGCGCATGAGCCGCAACGAATTATAACACATTTGATTTAAAAAATTCCATTCCGAGGCAATAGTTATATTAAAACACCAGGCTACATCCCAAAGAATAATGTTATAAATCTAAAAAATAGGGATAAACGATGCTTTGAGTAAGTTATCCTTAGCGCACTATATCTAGTTAAAGTAAATAGTGAACGTACATCAAAGTATAGCCAATACTTTAGAATAAATCTAAATTTTAATAATATTCAAACTATTTATGCTGACTTTGAAGAACTAAATATTACCACATACAATGGTATTTTTGGTAATTCAAATTAAACCTGGTGTAACAAAAGTACCAAAAGTCTTTCACAATCTAAGATGTTATGATCCTCACCTCATCATGCATCGGTAAAATAGAAAGA